AGAATTATTATCGCGGGCGGCCGCCGCCAATTAATTCGCGGACCTCGCAGTAAAAACAGGTTCACTCTGTGTGGATATTTCAGCTCCTTCCCAGTCATGGACCAGGACAAACTTGGTATCGATGGATTCGTGGTAATCTCAGGAATGAGAAGCTGCCACTGTTTTTCATATAGCATGATGACACTGGTGTTAGAGGATTGTTATTGACTTGGTTAGATGTTTTAAGCCTATTTTAAATTTCTTTATATTTGATCTTGAAAAAGGACAAACTTATAATTTGGCTGATAATGCAGCGATTATAAAATTTAGAGTACATTACATTCACAGAGAGAACCTGGTTTATTTTGTGTCATATGTATTTAATATATCAATATATATCAGTATTAGCAAAGCTTAACATCATGAACCATGACAGACATAACTGAAGAGCAGATGAAGATACCATGCCAGGCACTGATGAGAAAATATTACAAGGATCTCACAGCTGAATTTGGGAATGAGATGCTACACCTGAGAACAATATATGGTGCCACATTCCCACACATTCGGTCTCCTCTTGAGCTGCTTAATGCTATACAGGATGCAATTACAGAGCATTTTTGGAGAAGTTTGTATTGGACTGAGGATATTTTGCACACTACCTGTGACTGTTGCTGGGGGTGAACGGGCTTTTAGCAAACTGAAACTGGTGAAAAATTATTTGAGATCAACAATGTCCCAGGATAGACTGAACAGCCTAGCTCTTCTTTCTATTGAAAGCCAATTAGCCAAAGGATTGGACTTTAAAGATCTCATAAGTGATTTTGCTAACATGAAGACCCGTCAGTGGGCATTTACTGGAAAATAAATTCCAGGATTTTTGTTTGAACACATTGTTGGCAAAGAAAAATAATTATATGTGAAGTCTGGGCATTTCACTTTTATTATGCTGGCATTTGTATTTGCTCAATATAGAGGTTAAACTAGGATCATATTTATTATCTTGTCTTATAGCATGACAAAAAATGTGTAAGAGAGATATTGAGTAATTGAGCATGGGGGCCCACCTGGAAGACTTGTACCTAGGGCCCAGAATTTGGTGCTACGCCCCTGCTCTCCACCACTGTCCCTCTGAGAGGCTGCTGGGGGGTGGGGGGTGGGGATTATTCCTTAGGTGCATGATTAATTATTTAGTTTTGTCTGTGTTGAGGATAATGCCACTTTCCTCACCATAGACCAGAACGTTTTCTACTAGGGTCTAGGGCTGGGCGATATGATGATTTTAGATCGTTTTACGATCTACACATCTGACAGTCTGTCATTTTTGAGAGACCTTTTTATCACGATTCACAGCTCTGCTGTTGAATTTCTGCCTTTGAATGAAAAGGGAACTTACCCCAGGCGAATGACATGCCTTTGTTTGACCCTTAACCAATCAGAGTGAGTCATAGTAATAAATTAGTGCCCCGCTTGTTTTCACCTGTGTGTGAACAAACATGGCTTCGGCCGCGGCTGAGAGCGACAACGAGGTTTTCGTTCCGAAGAGGAACGCCTTTTCTATAGTACCGACCGAGCACTGATTCACGTCATTTCAAACGGTGCCTCGTTTCGGTACCCGTCCTTCATAACGAGAACTTGCAAAGAAAGCTGCGCATACGCAAGAGCGTTATGTCGTCAGTCCCTGCGAGCCAGTTGTAAACAGAGCAGCATGGTAGAAAGAACGCACGCTAACGCTTGGGTCCACTTCACTAAATGTGATGGGTAACTGGGTGATGAAACTAGCGACAGACAACGATATAAGTGTGAGACATCCTCATCTTAATCTGCTCCGGTTGGTAAATAAAATGTTTAAGATAACGTTACCTTGATATGTTAGCTTCCTATGCCACCGTTGTTATCAGCTAATGGTGCGTTCGCTTTCTCCTTGGAAATTCTAACTTCCCAGTAGGAAAAATCAAATGAACAAAGACGGCCAAAGGAATGAAGATACACAGTAAATTTAGTTCACAGTAAAGATGTTTGCTTCAGTTTAATTATCAGCTTATAAAACTACAAGGACCATGTTAAAATACAAACAGTTGAATGTTATTTATCGTGATATTTATCAAATATTGTTATATATTGAGAAAATATATATATATTTAATTATAAAAGAGAATTAAAATATGAAACACTCAAAAGTATCGAAAATTGGTACCGTTAAGTGCCGGTATCAATTCGTAGGTACCGGGAATTAGTACTGGATCGATTCAAATGTCAAAGGTACCCATCCCTATCCATTATATGGAACTGGTTTGGTTTTTCACCAGATGACAAAGAGCAGCGAAACGTCATTTGCAAAGTTTGCAAGGAGAGCGTCAAGGCAAGTGATGGCAACACCACGAACTTGTTTAATCACTTGAAAAGAAGGCATCCCAAACAATACAATGAGAGCCAGCTGGCAGCTAAAGCTAAAAAGCCTGCGGCTGCAGCGGCAGCGGCTAGTGCTTCTTCCAGGCAGCAAACGCTAACAGAAACACTCACAAAACCCTCCTTACGACAGAGACAGCAGACGATGGAACAGTGTGACCAATGCAGTGACGTACCACTTGGTTAAAGATTTGTGTCCCGTGCGAACAGTAGGAGCGGGATTCAAGAAAATGATAAAAACATTGGATCCGGGCTACGAGTTTTCCAGCCGCAAGTATTTTTCGAACACCGCCATTCCAAGCATGTACGCTGAATGCAAAGTGAGAGTTGCAGAAAATATTCAGAATGCGCAGTTTTTTGCTACCACAAGCGATCTCTGGTTCAGCCGCACATCAAAGCCTTATTTGAGCTTAACTATCCACTACATGAGCAACTGGGAGCTACATAGTATTTTGAACAAGTTAATGTTTGCACAATACGTTTGCAATTGACATGTTTGCACCTGAAATATGTTTACGATTTTAATTTATGTTAAGTTACTTGAAAAACGAGAAAAACTGATTTTTGTAATTGTTTCTCTCAGGGCTTTTATCATCTCTGGTGTGAGTTTAAAATATGTGTGTTAGCACTGTGTTGATTATCCCTAATATGAATAAATGTTTGTTTATTCAATGTTTCTCTTCTTTAATACGCAATTGAAGTTATGCTATTCATGGATAAAAATCGTGATAAAATCGAAATCGTGATAAAATATTGGAAAAATCGTGATATTCTATTTTTGCCATATCGCCCAGCCCTACTAGGGTCCTATACCCAGCCTGCTCAGCTGTTTAGCTGGAAGATAGGAAAGGAGACCTGTAGCAGGAGACTTGGTGCCTTCCAGTTGTCCTCGGAACTCGTTTTTCCTAGATAAGTTAGCCGGAAATGATGCATTGAACTCAGAATTCCCAGCTGCAAGCTCATAGGTTTCAGAGGAACCCGAGATACCAAATTTAAAGATGGCTGCGCCTAGTGCTACCAGGAAGTATCATCTTTATTTTTTACTCATTTATATGGTCAGTTTTCTTTTTGTTATTCAACAGCAAAGTTGTTTATTGTTGTTCTCAATAATTACATTGTTGAAGCATTTAACACTGACACCAAAATTGACCGGTGTTTATGGTTTTTACTTTTCTTGGCGTTTATATTTTTACATTTGATTTGTAATGTTTTTCCTGTTGTATGTGGCAACTGTGTCATAGGGTTAGGGTTATGTATTTAGATGTGGAAAATACTTGATTGAATAATTCTTTTGGTTTAGTGCTCAACAACACCGGTGGCATCCATTTCTTCTGAGTTGGAAGCTGGAATGTAAAACAAACCCATTACGTCATTTCCTGCTCATAAATTTTGAGTTCCAAGGACAATTTGAATGCACGATCCGACACCAAAGGTCAAGGTTAACTTTATTTATATAGCACCTTTACTGTTGCTCACACAACCTAAGTATGGCATTAAAAACAAAGTATATGATAAAACCCATAAATAAAAGGATGAGAGTGAACAATAGGAGACCAGGTAAAAATAAAACAAGATACAAACAATAAAAACCACAACAAACCAGATAAAAGTGAATAGATAGATCAGCCACTAGATGGTGCCATCAGATAAGAGAAATACTCCGGAAAGAAGCTTTAAAGGGAGAAAAGGTAGCTGTGCTCATTACCTGCTTCACAAGAATACTATTGATGAGTGATCTAATTACAGGTATCACGTCGAGGCTGCTAGAGCACGCAGAGAGAGTAGGGAGATGAAGAATTCAGCGGCGAGCGATGCTCCATTATGGAAGAAGAAAGGAAAACAGTGCTGCAGATAAATGAGACGATGTGTAAATGTTACCTTTTAAACACACGCTGATTGTATGCATTTGTGTGATTATACATTTAGATAATATTCCCATTACCTGATGCTAAGCTGTGTGAATATTGAAGCCACTAGGAAATCTGCAGCAAGCTTCTAAGGTAACAGAGCATCACTGAAGGTGTTATCTGTGACTGATGGTTTAGAAGAAGTATACGACTTAAAAAAATTTACAGCTCTAGGGAAAAAACTGTTTCCCAAACGGGTGGTTCGTACTAGGGATGAGCGAGTACACCACTATCTATATCTGTGTCTGTATCTGTTCAACCATCTAAATTAGCTGCATCTGTACTCTGAGTGGGTGGGGCCTAACCCAGAAGTGGGTGTGGTTAACATCAATACATTATTTTAAGTCTGAAATTGATATGGAATGATCAGAAGTTGCTATGTGTATTGTTTATTTGAAAACTATTTACAGAGCAGCCTTAGAATAGAGATTGAATATTTTTGATCACAATAGTAAAGGAACTATTACAGAACAAGTTTATCAATAAAATCAGAACATTAATATTTAACTGCATGAATTAATATAGATAGATACGATAGATAAGATAAGAGAGATGATAGATAGATGACGGACGGACGGACGGACAGACAGACAGACAGACAGACAGACAGACAGACAGACAGACAGACAGACAGACAGACAGACAGACTTGCCCTTCTGTCCTTCTGAGTGGCAAAGCTCTCGATTAGCTTTTTATTGAAGTCAGGAATGTTTGTGACAAACTTTTTTTTTCCATGGAGAGCATGGCAAGAGCATTCAGCCCATCCTGTGTCATGGTGTTCCTCAGGGAAGTCTTAATCCTCTTTAAAGTAGAAAAGCACCTTTCTGATTCAGCTGTGGTCATGGGTGTGGTGACAAGAATCTTCAAAAGAGTGACAGTCTCTGTGAACGTGCTTTGAAGATTGTTCTCCATGAAAAACTGGAAGAGAGTCAGTGCACCAATGCAAGCCCTGAACTCATGGTTCTCATAGATGAGGAATAGCTCTGTTCTGAGCTTAGCATTGTTCAGCATGGGGTAGGCCTCTACAGCGGTCGCCAGTGGTGCATCTGGGAACTGCGCTGTGTGTTTCACAAACAAGTCACTTTGTAGCAGAGTGGCAGTAACGAGGTGCTTGGTAAAAGAGAATCGCTCTTTTGTATGGCTCAGGATGGTGTCACAAACCTGTCATATGATAAATAAAAAACAACAGATAAGTACATAGGAAACACTTTCATAGGAAATAATGTCATCAGTATCCTCTTACAAATGTCATATTTCCCAGTTTTGGGGGAAATAAAACATTTCAGATTCTCAATGAGATGTTTTTACTTCAAATGTAAAAACATCTAATTGAGAATCAGAAATGTTTTATTGTCCCAAAAGCTGGGAAATGTGTTTGCTGCAGCAGAAGTGTAACAAGTAAAATGGAATCAGATTGATGTATGTACAAATTTACATGAAATACACATTTACATGGTTAAATATGTATGATAAGTGTGTGTGTTGTAGGGCTGTCGCGGTAACCGCAAAAATGAAATATCGCAATATGAAGAAGCCCACCGCGCTGCATCATGGGCCACCGCGATTACTGAACTTGGTTCAACTCAATGATGCATGTTGAGAAGGATGGCTGCACTGGTATCAAAACGAAACGTTACTTCGCTCCTTTGGGAGCACTTTGGTTTTCAGTACGTCAGCTGCTGCACAGCCAGAGTCCTTGGCCGAGACAGAGCTGCCACCAGCGGCAAAAATAAATAAATAAATAAATGCTCGGTGACCTGCTGAAGTCCCGGACAAGCACTGCTTCTGCAACCGCCCCGAAGAGAGTTTGAGCCGAGCTGGAGCTCACTCGCTACCTGCAGGAGGAATGCATCCACCCTAAAGAAACCCCCCTGACATGGTGGAGCAACAATCGGGAGATATTCCCTTTGCTCGCCAGTCGTACGCAGGTACGTGTGCGTAAGTGCAACGAGCGCACCATATGAGAGGGTTTTCAGTGTTGCTGGAAATGTTGCCACCCCTCTCAGATCCTCTCTCAAACCGTATATGGTTAACATGCTGGTTTTCCTTGTAGGTAACAAGGACGTGACCGAGCTATAAATCACCGTCATTCGTGTGTGTGAAAGTGAAATGATAGTGCGCCCGGTACATGTAATTTTTTATGCTTGATTTTAAACAACTAAACAAAATGGGGACTTGTTTCTTATTTGTTAGATGCTGCAGCCAAATTTGCATTTAAAAGTTTAACCTCCTGAATTTTGTTGTTTTTAAGTTCAGTCGGACTCTGACTGTCAGAGAAACAAACGTTACTGCGGTTGTTACTGCCCTTTGATCTAAATTCAGTAAAGTGTTATTAAAGAAGGCACGGCAATTTTTAACCTTTTTTAAATGTGTAAACATTATGTTTAGATAGTACTGCAATAAAAAAGGGCTGCAATAATATCGCACACCGCAATATTAAGCCACCCTGAATCACCGCTTGGGAATTCCTCAACCGCGACAGCCCTAGTGTGTTGAAATGAGTTTTTACAGTTATTGCACATTAAACAATGTACATGTTATTAAACAAATGTCCCTGTTTGTGGGACAACCAAGGATTTCTGATTCTGATTGTCTTGCTCACAGAAATGTAATGTACAGCTTACCTCTGCACCCAGCTGCTGTTGTTCTCCCTGTCCAAACGTCCTCCGTTTCTTCCGTTTCCCTCGTCGAGCTGCATGGCAACATTAGCTCTGCCTAGCATGGCTAGCTTCACCGTGTTGTCCTTGGCTGTGTCTCAATTCAGGGTCTACATCCTACGTCGGACGGATTCGTCGGCCGGTTACGTCACAGCGCCGCGACTAGGCCTGTCCCAATTAGAAGACTCCTTCAAATGCGGTCGACGAATCCGGCCTTCTTTTCGCCTGAATGAAGGACGGGTCCGGCGTATCCTTCAATGGGTAGCATTTCCCAAGATGCCTTGCGGGCCGGCTAGCAGAAAAACTTAAAAACAATGGCGGACAGTGAAGCAGGAGCTGTCGGAGAGGATTGCGCATATAAATGTCAGTATAAACTTGAAAACTGTTAGGTTAAGGGCTTTTTGTGATACATGAACGTTATTTTAGTTAGAAATGTTACATTGAAAGTGCTTGTATTGAGGTCTCGGCTCGTATGTTCGGCCGCTCTGTGTTGTACTTCTCCCGCTACGTTTTCCCCCTGATTTTAATAGGAGTTTGTATTTTAGGGACAAAAGAGTAAACCAGGGAATTTATTAAGCTTAGGGCGGAGATGGACCACATGATCACTGGAGCAAGGTATTCGGCGGCTGTGGCATGGAGGTACAATAACATCTCATATTTTAAAAACTTGAGTTTATTTTTTTCTGCGAAACCATGAAAGGAATAACCCGTTGTCCTCTTTTCACTTCCTGTTTTTTTTTCTTACATGTTTGTTAAGACTATTCTGGAGAAAATGGGCATCCAGGGGAAGGTGCCAGCGATGACCAGCTTCTGGAGCTGATCAGGGAGGACATGAGGCTGCAGAGGGAGGCAGAGCAGTAGACCGGGTTGGGCCTGTTCAGGTTTACGCAGATAAACTTTACATAGAATTGACTTACAGATATAAAATTAATTAATTATATAATGTTTGCATTAATTTTATATTATAAGCAGTACAGAGTTGCTATCTATAGTACGTTATTTTGGTGAGCTTGTTTGATATGTGTAGTTTATAATTTATCACTGAGTCAATAGAGCTCCGGACCCCACGTGACTCTCAGTTAGTGGACGCCATTTTGGCATGCAAAAAAGGTAAACAAACACGGATGTAACCATGAACATGAACGGGATCCGCTTGGATTTTACTTCATCGGAGTTTACTTCACACTTTAAAACAGAAGAAATCGTTTTATATAGTCAGAAATTAAATAGACTAAACATCTCCGACCCTTACCGTGCCCCTGGGATACTTTTTAAAAACGCCAGAAGCTGTCGGAGCGGACTTCTTACCGGCACAGCACCGGACCTGTCCGGGGAACCCCTTGGGATTCCCCCGGCCGGAGGAGCTGGGGAGAAGGTCTGGGACGCTTGACTCTACTGCCCGCTCCGACACCAGAAGCTGTCAGAGCGGACTTCTTACCGGCACAACACCGGACCTGACCGGGGAACCCCTTGGAATTTACCCGGAGGAGCTGGCTCCGGCGGCTGGGGAGAGGGAAGTCACGCTACTGCCCCCGCAACCCGACTCCGGATACGCGGATGAAAATGGATGGATGGACGGAAAAATAACAGATTTACACGTAAGAAGTCTCGGTGAGACAGATAACAGCAATCCAAAGTGCTTTTTATGTGTGATCTGACAATTGATCAACCATTGCTTAAAAATTAAATACAGCTTAGCCGGTTAATTGCTGTGATCATAAAACACGGAAACGGCAGCACGCAGAACTCATGAGGCAACGTTTTACGTGATGTTTACTTGCTGCTATGAGTAATAAGACAGAAAAAGCCACGCCAAAATAAGTTTAGGAAGCCCACTAAGAATCATAATAAAAGCATTTAAAATAAATACCATACACAGTTGAGGAAACGTTGGTTTAAGTACCTGATATGAAGTGGTCGCTGCATAAGCGAAAACCTTTACTCTCGGGATCCCACAGCTTCATTTTCGCCCGGTCACTAGTGCGTTTTATTAAAATGATCCAACGTTTGCGGCGCTCCGGATCTTGGAGAATCCTGTAGATGGCTCATTCCTTATGTCGTCCGCGTCTGTTCTGCATCCTGGGGCACAACAGGAATCTACCATATTTCCCGTTTGATTGAGTTTTCTGACAATAACAAATAGTCCAGCTGCCGGCTTCTGCATGCCAATATGGCACCGTTTCGATTTGAACTGTTGCATGCCGGGAGAAGTGACGTTAACTCCCGGAGCTCTATAGGCTTGTTTAGGACACAAACAGAAGAGGTTTCTGTCTGTGGTGGAAGGTGTGAAATCTGTGGTGGACAGCAGAGGAGAGGCTGAGAGCTTTGATGTGGTAATGGTGGAGGAGCCGAGTTGCCAGGAGATCTGATTGTTCAGAGTGTCAGCAGCCTGGGCTGATATCCGAGGTGTCAGACACTTATCAGCATTTTCTAAGTACTTCATTGTCCCTCAGTGGACATTTTGGTGCTTTGAAAAACTCTAAATGTTCTATGAATAATGCAAATGAGGTGAATTAGCGTTAGTAAAATAAAAGTGAAATTCACTGAAGCAGCAAGAATGCAAACAAATAAGTGAATTTGTGGGGAACAGCGTCTGCAACAGCATGGGGTGGGAGACATTTTCCAACAGTGATTTTATCTATCGTTAATCTCTGTTAGAGCCCTATACTGAAGCCCAGCCCTGGAGTCAGCCCGGCCCGAGGGCCGGTCTTCGGGCCAACGACTGTAATTACCTCGGACACGGGCCGGGCGCCTTTATTTTTAATCGAATTCATAAAAAAAAACTGAAACACTTAAACGCAGCAGCACCTGCCTGCTTCTCACGCACCGGCACCCGTTAGCTCAGTTAAGGTCTGTGTGGTTTATAAATGGGCCTATATGAACAAATTCTCAAACTGCTGATTGAAACATGTGCCCCTATTCTAATATGCCATTTTATGTCCACTTTGATGTCAGAAACCATTCGTTTATTCTCATGAAAACAGCAGCATTCTATTTTTCTGTGGATAAATTCGCTCTGCAGTTAAAAAAAATACAGCATTCATTGCTGGGGTTTTTTCTAACTAGAGAGCGCATTTTCAGAGCGGCAGATAAAATTTACAAACGCTATATTAATTGGGGGTGTTTATTTAATCTGCCGCTCTGAAAATGCGCTCTGCAGTTAGAAAAAAAGCAGCATTCTAATTTTCTAATTTTCAGAGCAGATTAAATTTACAAATGCATCCATTTAATATAGTGTTCGTAAATTTCATCTGCCGCTCGAAAAATACGCTCTGTTAGAAAAAACAGCTGCATTGTTGCTGTTTTTCTTTCTTTCTTTTTTTTTTTTTTTTTTACTGCAGAACGCTTCCCACAGATAATTAGAATGCTGAGCATTCTATCACGCTAAAACATTATGAAAGGTTAGAAAAAAGTCGGGCTCAGGTCGGGCCAGAGAATCCTGAAAACCTTTTCGGACCAGGTCGGGCTGGGGCTCCACCCTCTCGGGCCGGGCCAGACACGGGCTCAGATTTTAGGCCCGTGCCCTGGTCACGTGATGCAAGTCAGTTCCATTTAACTGTTTTCTTTGACCAAGGAAGGACAGTGTCCTCTAAGCCTTGACATTGAGAAACACCCCTGGGATTATACCCAAGCACAGTGGCCTTAATGCAAGACTACAGTGTTAGCAGTGGCGTTCTTGTTTCTGCTAACTTAGCAAAGCAGCTCATATAAACTTTAGCTAGACTACATAGTTGTACAAATATCTTATAATAAGGCCTTAATAATGGTATAAATAGCATGACTAAGTTAGTGTGTCACCTTGTTTAAATAAAAAGACGAGGAAATGACTAAAATAAGTTGAAATGTACTTACCCCAGCTCGTTCTGCCGTCGCGAACTGCAGACGGCAGCGGACTGAAAACCGAGGGAAAAACGCAACTCTCACTCTGATTGGTTGAGCCTGTTGTCCTGGAAACCAGAGCCGACCAATGACAACCCTCCCTCTGTGGCTCCTCCTTCTGCCCCCACCCTCGCCCTCATCCCCTGCTCCACTCGCCTCTGCAGATACACCAAGCCCCCACAATGCCGCTCTAAAAATGGTTCCATCCCGGAAGTAAGAAAAATTGCAGTTCCACCCTCATCCGCTGGGGGCTGGTACCAGAAGCGAGCAAATCCTCATTGACTCCCATGTTAAAAATGCCATTTTCACAGCAGAAATAAACATGTTTACAGCCTGGTTCCAAAAATTGTTTTTTGTCTAAATTATCTAGTTTATACTCATGACAACTCTGAGGGGGGTGAATTTTTTCTCACTCTTCTGTTTAAGTGTATTGAAAGCCTAAAATTCTGTATAATTAATGAGCATCCGACACACGTGACCGCCGCCTCAGACCCACGTGACCACATAGCTAGCTCCGTGGAAAGGCCTCAGTACAGCCTCGGTCTCTCCTGGAAACTGTGAGGGGATTTTGAGTCTCTGTGCTTGTGAATTCTGTTTTGGATATTATTGGTGCAATTGTTGGACAAAATGACTTGCTGTGGTATTAATTGCACTAATAGAGCGTCCAAGGAGTCTCCACTTCATTTTTTTTGGTAAGTTAAAGTCTATATTTGTATTTTATGTCACTGCCACCTAGCTGAGTTTACCGAAGTAGCTAGCTAACTATCAGTTTAGCACGTAGCATGTACTGTTTAACCATGAAATTTAAATGTAAAATACGGTAAAATAATTAATAGGGCATATTTTAATGGGTAAAAGGGTAAAACCCAGTGCATTTAAGATAAAAATGGGTTGAAATATGACGGAGCGCGCCGCTTGGAGGGACACCTGTGCTCCATTCTTTCATCCGGTAATCCCCAGCGGTCAGGCCGGGCAGCCTGACCGATGCAGCGCCTCGCTGCTGCGGGCTGACCGCTCGTGGAGCTCTCGAACTCGGAGACAGATCTGACCGGAGAAATACTGCAGCTCGTTGAGAAGTCTATAGGGCATACAGCGTTTCCCTTAAATCCCACCGCCACGCCGACAAGATCCCAAGTTTCTTTGTTTTTGTTGGCGCTGTTTACTGAAGAAGCAGCGGGAATACCAGCAAGTTTCATCAGACTCGTAAATTTAGTTTTTGCAGGGGACCCCCTGTATTTTACCACTCCCTCCTGCAGTCTTCCCCTATTAAAATTTAAAATGTGTAACTTTATGTTTTGGGATGAATGACTAATATTCATGTTAACTAAAACGTTAGGTATTTAGGGGGAAAAAACAAAATAATAAACATTATACAGATGTCAAATAAATCAAACTGTAATTAAAATATATATTTTCAAAGTCTCGATTCTGGATAAAATCCAACAACATATGCTTTATAAATAAACACTACACATGGCTTTTACACACACACACACACACACACACACACACACACACACATTACATTGTGATTTCTTAGTAAATATTCTATTTGGCGAGAGATAAAACTTTATTGTATTTATCCTAGTGAATCTATAATTAAACGGGTAAACTAGTAGTAGCACATCCAACATCAAAGAAAGTAAAATGTTATTATCAGGAGAGGGAGAATGTTTAAGTGGTTAGCAGCAGTGTACTAGCCGATGGCCCCCTCCATGAGGCCACCACAGCTCAGCAGAACACCATTGTAGCTTCTTCTGGGGAGAAAAACACTTAGAGAAAAAATAAAGTTAACAGCTGAAATAGCAGGAAATAATACAGTTAAAGAGCAGATTGTAGAAGAAAGAAACCCCTGGGTTAAACTGGTCTGTCTACTGCATAATGCTGAACTCTTAACATGTGTCCTCAGGGAAGGACCTGATTGGTGTCCAGAACCTGCTGAAGAAGCACCAGGCTCTGCAGGCTGAGATCACAGGTCATGAACCTTGCATCAAGACTGTCACCCAGAAAGGAGAGACCATGGTGGAGGAAGGTAGAGCAGGTCTGGTCCTGACATGTTTCTGAGGTGTCTGCAGGTTCTGGCTCACTTTTTTTGGGTCCAGGTCACTTCGCTGGTGAGGAAGTGAAGACTAAACTGTGGGAGCTTCATGGACGTTGGGACATGCTGAAGGCCAAGGCGTCCCAGAGGAGGCAGGACCTGGAGGACTCTCTGCAGGCCCAGCAGTACTTTGCGGATGCTAATGAGGCCGAGTCCTGGATGAGGGAGAAGGAGCCCATCGTTGGAAGTCCAGACTAAGGGAAAGACGAGGACTTGGCCGAGGTATGGAAGTCCCTTCCTGAGAAACTCCAATCGCTTTTCTTTGCTCTCTTTCCAGTCCTTCATAATTAGTGTTTCTGTATTTGTCATTTCCTTCGGTTGTCTACCAGACGTTGCTCGTTTGAGCGTCTCATGGGTTAGGGGTAGAAGTGCTGGCCTCGCACAGGAAGTGATGACAAACGTGTTCCCGTTGCTCTTATTTCAAACGGTTTACAAGCTGTGATGTGTGTTCCCGCTGCAGAGCAGCCATGACACATGGCAGCCGGCAGAAGGCTCACGCTTTTCCACTAAACACCCGCAGAGCTGCGTCTGCGGGGAACTGAGCAGGGTTTGTTTTACGGTGGCGGATCCGATTGGACCATCGCTGCGAGAAAGCGCCACTTGTGTCAGACGAGCTGAAGGTTCTGATGTTCTGCTCCACAGGCTCTCCTGAAGAAGCACGAGGCCCTGATGTCGGACCTGTCGGCTTACGGCAGCAGCATCCAGGCCCTGAAGGAGCAGGCCCAGTCCTGCAGGGTGAGTTCAGAACCCTCGGCCCGTCAGAACATTCTTATCCACCACGTTCTAACACCAGACCTGTTAACCCGACAGCAACAAGGTGATCAGCAGGTGCTTTTGTCCTGCAGGACCTGAAGGCCAACGAGTCACGCCTGAGGGACATCAACAAGGTGGCATCTGAACTGGAGTCAGAAGGTCTGATGGCTGAGGAGGCTCCTATGGTTCAGGCTCAGGTGAGCGTCACCTGTCTGCAGCAGCTGGTCCCTCTCACTTCCTGGTTTAACTCTGCTCGTCTCTGTTTGTAGCAACAAGAACATCTGGGTTCTGCTCCTGGAAAGGTGCATGTTGTCCTCCGCCTCCACCAGAACCAGACGTGGTGTTTTTGTTACCACTCATTTGTTTGTTTGTTTGTTTGTTTACAGGATGAAGCCGACTCTAACACGGCGTCACCCTGGAAGGTGAGTTCATTCAGCTGATCAGAGGTCACCTCTGATGGCCGCAGTCACGGCCGACCGTGCTGACATCACACAGGAATTCAGGTGACCCGGCAGGCACCAGGTGCTGGTGAAAGTGGGGACATGTCAGCTGGTTGCCATGGCTACAGTTATCTTTATGCATCTGTATGACTGCTGACTGGTGTGTGTTTCCTGTGACCTTTGACCTCAGACCGTACGGTTGGGCATTCAGATGACGGCTAACTTTAATTCCATCAAGGTAAGAGGAAGCTCTTCCCTTCCTGTCTGAGCGATCCGTCTCCAGGTTTCCTCGTCCGGCGTCCAGCCCGCTGGCGTCCACCTTCATCTCATCTCACTTCATTTATAGTGCAATACTTTCACATTATCATTTTCCCACACTTCTGTATACCTGTATTTTGTTGTTTTTCAATAAAGAATGACAAATTATTTAAGTTTGGTTTTTGTTGCACACAAATATATATCTGTAAAAAATATCTACAAAGCTAATGTTTACATAACAAGTATGATTGGGTTTTGCAATACGGCACTCAAGTTTATTTTAGTAAGATTTTCAAACCAAGTAAAGTTAGTAAAGAACTAGGGCTGGAACTTCATTAAAATTTTTAATCTAATTAATTACAGGCTTTGTAATTAATTAATCTCAATTAATCGCATTTTAATCGTTCAGGCAAATGTGCTTTCAAAGTAAAACTTTTAATTAAAATTTTGAGACAGAGAATCAAACATTAGACATGGTTATTACTGTAAACTAAAGCGTTTAATAAAAAAATGCATTTTAATTATTCAAATGTCACTGTGTGATATGAAACAAAACCCAAATAAACTAAAATTTATAATTACAAATAGAAGGTTCCTGAGCCTTTAAATAGTCTCTCTGTCTAGTTGAATGACTGAAATAAATTTGACTTTGCACCAGATTCTAATTTTTCCAGTTTCACTTGTTTGTATAATTGGGAGTTTTTATTAGCATTTCTACTCATAATGTAGTAAAAAACACATAAATAATAATCCTTCAAAATGACAGTAGAACAGGCACAAATATGATCTAGGACTTAAATGTACTAACTTTTAACACCAGAGCAGGCGTGGCATATTCTGAGAATGATCAGGAACACTAACTGGTTCCAGTTGGATGACTGGAGGTTGATGGGAAGATAAAAGATCATGGCGAGGAAATAATGATCTGACGAACAGGTGAGCGGACCTTCCTTACATGGGAAGTCCTGCTGTCACGTTAATAAGGGGATGCTGCAGACCCGCAGATTCACGCCTGCTGCAGCGAATCTGGTGTGATCTTCAGCCGGATCACAACTTCCTCGTTCCTCGCTGCCCCAGATACACAGCTTTAACACACCTCGCTGCTTAATGATAGTAATAATGCATGTGATGTTTAGACAGAGACTCGTCTCAGAAACATAGAATTCCCCGACAGAATTGTTTAGAAAATCATCAGAAAAGTTTCAGAGTGTTTCTGTTTTAACTTAAACTTCTGTTTTCAACTGTAAGACACGAGAACACGGAGCGTTCTCCCAGCGGCAGCCAGGTGCCTCTCGTTTGTCTGACTACTTTCATAAACTACTGTTAGGGCAAAGAATTATTCTGTCTGGTGCTTTCAGCGCTGCACAGATGTTACGTAAATGTTAAAAATATAGCTTACCGCAACTTTTGTAAAGTTTACGGTGCTACCGGGCGGGCAGCCGTAGCAGAGACGATCTCTGAAAAATGTCCGCGACACGGACTCCGTTGTTGTCTGGAAGTTTTTTTTCCCCCCAAGTTAAGAAAAGAGGCGGACGTGTTTCCTAAATCCTGCATCAGTCCAAGCAAGGCAACTTCTTTCTGTTTTTATTACGTTTAGTAGCCATTAGCGCTGTGCATTGTTGTGTGCGTCAGTGATATTCAGTCTACGAGGAAGTCGTGCAATGACAAAGGTTCCGCCGTGCTTGAAATGCAAGCTGCGATTAAATGCGTTAAAAAATTTTAACGCGTTATTTTTTTCTAATTAATTAATCGTAATTAACGCGTTAAAGTCCCGGCCCTATAAAGAACACATTTCTATTGTCTGCTAAGAAACTGTTGGGATTTAAAATGGGCCTGTTGTACAAATAACTTGTAAATGATTATTCGTCACTTTTGTCTTAACCAAAGAAATTCCAGTAATTGAGCAAAAACATTTATTTTTAACACTACATTTTATAAAACAGGGCGCAAAGTGTCGGCACATGTATGTATGTCGATGGTCCGCCCCAACCAAACCAGGAGACACAGACGTCAGGGAGGCCAAGGTTGTGTCCGACGGTCTCTGCAGCTCTCTGGGCACCACGCCTCACGTAGCTGTCACCAATGATCCAAATGGCTATGGAGAAAAAATAACAGGTTTGTCATAATTGTTTAAAGTACAAAACCATACATGAAGTGGTCAAGACAGGTATTTGGAACTTACACTTGCTGCGTTGTGTAGCTGACGTTGACACACAGGCTGCCACGGTGACCTTTTAACAGATCTAAGAAAAAAATGTAATAAAAGAATGAAACTTAAAAACTCCCAGACCTCATGTCATATTTACTAATCAGCTATGGCTGATTTATTGTTTGGATCACAGTGAGTTACACTAATTCTAATATATTTTTATTTCTATTATACATACATACTTTTTAACTGTTATTTTCGCATGACTGTTATCAGGCTCTCTTGTTCTGGTTCTGATGATAACTCTGTGTCTTCCAGTAAGTTATCTTGTGCTTACTTCATCTGTATAATGTCTCTTTACTTTTGGTAAATTGTACTGAGTCCAGAATAAAGGCTACTTGGCTGTACAAGATACAAACAAGTATTACATTTTGGAAATATATGAAACACCGCCAGCATCTGTTAGAGCCTGTGGCGGGGTGCTGAGGGCCGGCTCCAGCCCAGGAATGAGCTCTCCACGCCGGCCGGGAGGGTTTGAAACACCGCCATCCTCTCCTCTGCTGGCTGTTCATTCTGTTATGGTTACCGGTGCTTGTGTTGCAATGTGAAACGCTTGGTCTCAGATTTTGTAAGAAAGATAATAAAATGTCCCCCCAAAATACGACTTAAATATATTTTCTCTTATTCATGATACATTTAATGGCTGGTGCGACTCAGGAGTGATAGCGCCGAAAAAAACTGTACTGAAAACTTGCTCAAAGCAAAATGTTTTCATTATGGAAATAAATTATAAACTTACCGATTTAAAACTTTTTTAATACAGGTACTTCTCACGAACAGGCGCAGAAAACCTCCACCTAAACTCAGTGTGAGGGTCAGGTCGTTGGGTGTTCCAGTTAGCTCCGGTTGAATTGAAGCTAGGTGGCTACATCCGTTAGCTCGGCTCCCACCTCCGCTTTAGCTTTGGGTTAGCCAGGGTTAGCTTCAGGTTAACTCGTAGCTAGTTCGTCACTCGATCCCAGCCTTACAGCCCCACCCTCAGCGCCTCCTCTCTTCCCTTTTATGGAATTGTCTGGGCTGGACGGAACCTGTGACACGGTCAAAATGGCGGTGGTGGCCACCTCCCATTATGGACAAAAAACGTGTTTTTGGAGCCTATGGAATCCATTTGTCCAGTATGTACAGTCTATGAGATACACACAGCTGCAATTTGCAACACACAACCTGCCAGAAGTGTTTCAAAAGTCAGACTCGCGAGAGGAGAGTTGTGCGCTTGTAAAACAACAACTGAGCATGCGCAGAAACGTATTTGAGAAGTTGCATTTACTGGGTCGCAGAAGAAAATTTTACATATTAGTTTCTTTTGTTTCACATACAATTTACTTTTTCTTACAAGTACCATTTATCTTCACAATTTCACACATGTTGATGTGCAGCTTCTCACGTTTTAATGCACAGACACTCACCTCAAAACTTCAAGCTCACATTTTACGGTACACACACTCACATCCAATCTTCAAGCCCACACTGTGTTGTACGGACTCAGACAACACATTTACAAACTTGTGCATTTTGACACAAATTAATCATGAAAATAGTTTCAAAAATCAGATGTGTGAGAGGAAAGCTGTGCAATTGTAATAAAAGAGTTGAGCGTGTGCAGAAACAGATCTGTACACTTGTGTTTACAGACTTGTAGTTGAAAATGTCCCACACAACTGTATTTTATTTCACACGCATGTGCGTGTTTCTTACAGGTACACATTTAGCTTTACAGGTTTACGGGTGTTGGTGTACAGCTCCTCACACTGTACTGCACGCACACACACACACTGTTTTCAAGCACCCATCATGTAGTACAAATACACACAACAGATCTACAAGTTTGTGCTTTTTGAAACAGAATGACCTTCATAGATGGAGACTAAAAATTAAGCATCCGCTAGGATAATAAGAGAAAAACCTTCGTACCTGTGAGTAATCGTCCGTTCAACCTCCGGTCGACTCCACTATGACTGCAGCCAAATATTAGCGCTCCAAACAACTGCTCCGTATTCCGTCCCCAAATCAGTAGTCCTGCGATTAAAGCTCCAGCCAACCGCTGGCGTATTAAAACTCCAAGCGACTCCTCGTCCGAACCGTCTCAGAACTGTACCGGCGTCACTCTCCTCACGTTCTACCTGCGTCCAGAGCTTTATAGTAAAGGATCAAGAAGGCGGAAACTTCCCGTATTACCGAAGAATAAAGATTTCCCTGAAACTGCCCATCAATTTCCCAGAACTCCCTAATCAGCATCACTGACTCCAGACAAATGTCTCAACTAAAAGTCCCTTGAACAGCCTCAGTTGGGAGACCTGGCAATTTAAGTGAAGTTTAAACAACTCCAGGTGGGAATCTTTTAGGTCTCAAAACGAATCCTAGTCTCCATTCAGGGTTTAGAAACATCTTAGATGTCGTGTGGTTTAGATTTATTAAAAAGTTGGATGAGCAGCGATTGCCTTTGTCTCAAAACCAAGGCCCTGATTAGTAACACTAGAACCTCACAGTTGTAGATTCATGCAGTTCAACACAAGTGCAGATCATTTTACTGTAACTAACAACAAAGGGATCCTAGTTTGTATTTAGAGTTTAAAAGCATCTTAGCTGTCGTCTGGTTTATATTTATTAATAAGAAAATTTGTTAAAGACTAAAATAAAAGCAGTTACACCTTAGTGTAGCTCATTTACTGTTGCTAACACCAAAGGGATCTTAGTTTCTATTTAAGGTTTTAAAACCATCTAAATTGCCATCTGGTTTACATTTATTAATAAGAGAATTTGTTAAAGACTAAAATAAATGTAATTACGCACTAGTGCAGCTTATTTACTATTGCTAACATCAAAGGGAACCTAGTTTCTATTTAAGGTTTAAAAACATCTTAGCTGTCGTCTGGGTTATATTTATTAAGAGGAAAAATTGTTTAAAACTAAAATAAATGCAAGTAGATACTAGTGCAGCTCATTTATTGTTGCTAATACCAAAAGGGATCCTAGTTTTTATTTTTTAGGGTTTAAAAACATCTTAGCTGCCGTCAGATATATTTCTATTAATAAGAAAAAATTGTTAAAGACTAAAAGGCAGGTAACACCAGTGCAGCTCATGTATTTTTGCTACCATCAAAGGGAACCTAGTTTCTATTTAAGGTTTAAAAACATCTTAGCTGTCGTCTGGTTTATCTTTATTTAAGAAAAATTGTTAAAGATTAAAATAAATGTAGTTAGATACTAATGTAGCTCATTTACTGTCGGTTATCAGGTTGCCAGGGGTTTATTGAACAAGGAGGGAGAAGGCAAGTCCTTCCCAGAATACAGAGGCACAGAAGGTTCTTTGGAAATGTAAAATCAACTTGCTGGAACTCCACAAACAACATCCCTGACTGCAGACCGGCATCTCTGTATAATCTTTCATGAACAACCTTAGTTGGGAGACCTGGAGATTCATGAGGTATTAACAACACCTAAGTGGGCATCTTTTAGGCCTCAAAAGGTTCAATTATAGAAATATGAACTTACCCAACATAAAACCCTACTGCCATTCAGTTAATTTCAATGTAAATTGACATAAAAAGGTCATAATCACTGTTTAGGGTTGAACCAGTCCACAGTTGCAGACTTCTGCACACTACAAATCCCAGTTGCAGATTAATAAGACAAATCCCTATTGTAGTTTAATTACTTTCACTATAAGTTACCCAAAAGGGTTGCACTCCCTGTTTTAGGGTTAAACAAGTCCACAGTTGCACTCAGTTTACTAGAATCCACAGTTGCAGATTCATGCAGTGAAATACTAGTGCAACTCATTTACTTTCACTGTACACTAACACAAAAAGATCTTAGTCCCTATTTAGGGCTGAAAACATCTTAGATGTCGTCTGGTGTAGTTTTATTAAGAAATATTGTTAAAAACTAAAAAATAAACTTCTTGTGGGTTGTTTACAAGCCCACTCTGACCTTTAAGAGTAAATGAATCCAACAGTATAAAGCACGCTCTGTGCTATACTTTTTGTGAACCTAGAATTAGAACCACAATTAAAAGTATGGATGAGCAATTGCCTTTGTCTCAGAACCAAGGCCCTAATTATTAACATTAAAACTCGTAATTGCAGATCTAAAGAAACGAAAGAACTAGAAAACTAGAGAGGGGGGGGGGGGGACCAGGAGGGAGGATCGTAAACAATGTGTCCATGCTGTGCCTCGGGGGGGGGGGGGGGGGGGGGGGGGGGGTTCTAGGTTCATTCTTAACGGAGAGGGGGAACTAGGGCTGGGCGATATGACGATTTTAGACCGTTTTACGATCTACACATCTGACGGTCTGTCATTTTTGAGAGACCTTTTTATCACAATTCACAGCTCTGCTGTTGAATTTCTGCCTCTGAATGAAAATGGAACTTACCTCAGGCGAATGACACGCCTTTGTTTGACCCTTAACCAATCAGAGTGAGTCATAGTAATATATTAGTGCCCCGCTTGTTTTCACTTGTGTGTGAACAAACATGGCTTCGCCGCGGCTGAGAGCGACAACGAGGTTTTCGTTCCGAAGAGGAACGCAGGGTTTCCTTAGCGCGCGGCGCTAACAACTTAGTGACGTAACATGTCTCGGAGAAAGCGTAAAAACACGTTGGACGCTTCTTCTGAAGCAGGAAAATAACACTTCTTCTTAAGCAGAGCACGACGTCGCCTCGGCTCGTCCACCCTCTGCCGAGCCGGTGTCGGTACCGGACTGAGCTCGGTCACTGGGTCGTTGGAGCTGCCCCGTGACTGCCTGAAGGAAAACCAGCGGGTTTCATCAGACTCGTAGTTTCTTGTTTTTGCTAGGGACCCCTGTATTTTACCGCTCCCTCCTGCAGTCTTCCCCTATTAACCCTTTGATGCATAATGGTCACTACAGTGGACAGGTACTCAAAATTGTTATTTATTTGTTTTTGCTATTAAGCACAGCTGTTGAAGACTTTATTGCATTTGAGCCCCTCCATTTGGACTTCAGTAAGCCAAGCCAACATATTTCATGCTCAGAATGCACGCTGTCCACTGAAGTGGACATGTAATAAATTATTTGTAAATTATAAAATTTTACAAAAAAAAACATTTGTTGAAATTTGTTTTATTCACACCTAAAGACGAATGAAAAAAAATGTTAAAAAAATCATGGTTGAAGATTTCATAATTCATGCATCTAAGGGTTAACATTTAAAATGATTCTGTAAATCCGTGTATCAATAGAAACAATCTCTGCCTCTGCCAGCTGCAGTAAATGTAGTTTCCAAATAATAAGAGGTGCATTCATCTGTGTATCTCCTTTGATCCACATTAGTGATATTTTCAGCACCAGAACACCAGTGAAGCAAAGAAAGATTCCTGAGTTTGTTAGTAATTTTATTTATTAGGTGCATCTAACCTGTTCTATTTTTCTCTGAAATGAGATCAAATCAGTGCTTCCATGGGTTGTCTCCAATCTGCACTGGAAAATTTTACTTTATTTAGAGACTTGTTGCAGAAAATATTCAGAATGCGCAGTTATTTGCTACCACAAGCTGGTCCAGCCGCACACCAGAGCCGTATTTGAGCTTAACTATCCACTACATGAGCAACTGGGAGCTACATAGTATTTTGAACAAGTTAATGTTTGCACAATACGTTTGCAATTGACATGTTTGCACTTTAAATATGTTTACGATTTTAATTGATGTTAAGTTACTTGAAAAACGAGAAAAACTGATTTTTGTAATTGTTTCTCTCAGGGCTTTTATCATCTCTGGTGTGAGTTTAAAATATAAGTGTGTTAGCACTGTGCTGATTATCCCTAATATGAATAAATGTTTATTTATTCAATGTTTCTCTTCTTTAATACGCAATTGAAGTTATGCTATTCATGGATAAAAAATCGTGATAAAATCGAAATCGTGAAAAAATATTGGAAAAATCGTGATATTCTATTTTTGCCATATCACCCAGCCCTAGGGGGAACCTCAAAGTCCATCTTGTCTTGGGCCCCAAATGCTTTGAAACGGCCCTGTCCGCTTCTACATGTGTCGCTCGCTAATGAAACGGCCCAGTGGTGTTCTGGGGGATAACCTGGGGCGGAGCTTGATATGTGCAACATATGCGGCTATTTTTGTTTTCTTTTTTTAGCATCAACCAATACATAAACAAAACATGTTATTTTATTTGTTTCTAAATGTATATATTTGAAAAGTTTCAGTGCAGTGTGTATGTGGGGCTTAAATCTTGCAATACAAGAACTTTGTTATATATAATACACTCCACGCAATTTGAAACAAAGTTTTATGTGTAATTTTTTTTCTTGTGCGTGTGTGTGTGTGGGGGGGGGGGGGGTCACAGGGGGTTCTCGCACAAGGTGCCATTTAGGCTAGCTCCGCCTCTGGGGACAACCCGTTCATGGACACAGAACTTCTGACTACACCAGCTCCCTTTCGGAGGAGTGACATGGGATGATTTGCTGTCCCACACCGCAGACCCCCGAGCCACTCAAAAACGGAGTAATGGGCTTAACACACGGGAGGCGACAAACGACTGCGATCAGCGAAATTTGTCGCTGTCGCTTTTATTACCTGACACACGGGAGGCGACCATCGACATATATACTGGACAATTAATTTCCATAGGCTCCAATATCACTTTTTTGAGGCCAAATGGGAGGTGGACACCACCGCCATTTTGACCGCGTCACAGGTTCCATCAAGCCCAGACACTTCCAACAAAGGGAAGAGAGGAGGAGCTTAGGGTGGGGCTGTAAGGCTGGGATCGACTGACGACACCCGGTCAAACTAGCTACAAGCTAACCTGAAGCTAACCCAAAGCTAATGCGGAGGTGGGAGCTAAGCTAACGGAGGTAGCAACCTAGCTACAACCGGAGTTAACTGTGCACAACACCAGAGCTTCTGAGTCAGAGATACGCCGGGCTGACCGCTGGGTAAAACCGGGTGGAACACAGAGGTCTCCGAGACCAGCCGCACAGCACACAGAAGCCGCGATCAGACAGATACGCCGAGCTGCTGGGAGAACCAGCCGTCAGCCCGCGCAGCTAACAGGAGCCGCGATCAGCCAGAGATGGACCGGGCTGCGGGGAGAAGGAGCCGGCATTCCGGGTGGAAAACATCAGTCTCCCGAGAGCTCCATATGCCGATAGTCAGAACCCAGCTCCACCAACATGTTATATTTCAACCCATTTTCTAAAGTGCAGCATTATGTTAAATGCACTGGGTTTTACCCTATTACATTTAAATTTCATGGTTAAACAGTACATGTTAAAATCTAAGCTCAGCTCGGCAGTGACCTAAAATACATAAATATAATTGGGGCAATGGTGGCACAGGAGTTAAGTGCTCGCCCCGTAATCGGAAGGTTGATTGTTCGAGTCCCGCTCAGTCTGTCGCTGTCGTTGTGTCCTTGGGCAAGACACTTAACCCACGTTGCCTGCTGGTGGTGGTCGGAGGGACTGGTGGCGCCAGTGCTCGGCAGCCTCGCCTCTGTCAGTGCGCCCCAGGGCAGCTGTGGCTACATCGTAGTTCATCACCACCAGTGTGTGAATGTGTGTGTGAATGGGTGAATGACTGATTGTGTTGTAAAGCGCCTTGGGTGGTTCTGGACGCTCTATTAGTGCAATTAATGCCACAGCAAGTCATTTTGTCCAACAATAGCACAAATAATATCCAAAAAGGAATACACAAACACAGAGACTCAAAATCCCGGAGCAGTTTCCAAGCCAGACCGAGGCTCAGACTGAGGCCTTTCCACGGAGCTAGCTCTGCGGTCACGTGGGTCTGATGCTCATTAATTATAAAGAATTTTAGGCTTTTAATACACTTAAACAGAAGAGTGAGAAAAAAATTCACCCCCCTCAGAGTTGTCATGAGTGTAAACTAGATCATTTAAACAAAAAAACATGTTCTGGAACCAGGCTGTAAACATGTTTATTTCTGCTGTGAAATTGGTACTTTTAACATGGGAGTCAATGAGGATTTGCTCGCTTCTGATACTAGCCCCCAGTGGATGAGGGTGGAACTGCAATTGTTGGTACTTCTGGGTGATAGCTCAACAGGCACATGGGGGCGTGTTTGGCCGGGGGGCGTGTTTGGAGAGGGTCTGCAGCTAGGTATTATTGAAAACCCTGCCCTCCTCTCCCAATGATCGGACAGGAATTCGAGAAACGTGATTGGTAGCTAAGACTCGTGCGCTCATTGGTTCCACCCAAGTTCCTCTCACTGACACTAGGATGCGCTAGAATCGAGACAAAAAGATTCGTAACACACTGTAGACTTGAGGTTTGTACCTGTAGAATGAAATGTGTGTTTTGAGAGTTTTGATTTCAAACTTGTACCTTGATTTTTTTTTTCAATTTGGAAGTCTGCTAGTTACAAAACAAAAGTTTCATGTTTCTGAATGAATGTTTGATGTTCCAAAATGAGTAGTAAATGTACAAAATAAAAAATACGTGTACAAAATACAACGTTCCTGTTACAAAAAAGAAATAGAAGTACGAATTGAGAATTACAAGTTAGAAAACTAAAGTTACAGGTTACGAATCTAAAGTTACCTGTAATGAAACATGTTTGAAGTTACAAAACTTGGTACAAGTTAGTTACGCTGAATATTGTCCCAATCCTATACAGCTCCCTTTCGGAGGAGCGACCCACCCCCACCCCCCGCAGACCCCTGTAAATTATTTTGTTTCGCAAGGTGTGCTGGACAGTTAAACATAAACGCTGCATTGAACCACTCTTTCAATGTTCTGTTAGAAAATTAAAACCAAAATTACGACAAATTAGGCCAAAAAAACCCGGAAAATTTCGGACTGAATCATTTATCTGTTTGGTGCAACAGCGAGAAGTTTCTATAATGTCTCCTTTAACGAACAACCAACTGTTGGCGTCACGTTTTCCTGGAGACTCGCTGAAAGGATACGCTGGCAGAAAAACACCCCACAATCGACACACAAGCTTTCTTACCTTCCTCTCCATGTCTGCGCTCTCAGCTGGCCATCCGCTAGCAACTCAGACGCAACAGGTAGGTAAAAAACAGGGGTGCAAGTGTATGGAAAGCCGTTTTAACATTTAATCACAAACTGTATGGAAAGCCGTTTTAACATTTAATCACAAACTGTATGAAAAGCCGTTTTAACATTTAATCACGAACGTTTTTATATCGTTGTATACTCACCTAAAGGATTATTAGGAACAGGCACGTGCGGGGGGGGGGGGGGGGGGGGGGTGAGACCCTGCCTCTTTTGTCCAAAGTGCCCAAAGTGCCCTTTTTCCGGTCGTTCGTCAGATTTTACCGTACAAAACTATTATACTGTGATACAAATCGGGCACTAGGACCATGCAGAGGCAGCCGCCTCAAGCTGAAGGCTATTTTCCCTTAGACCCGCCTACAAGCTCACTGATTGGCTCTGCCGCATCATAATAACGTGTGATTGGTTGTCCTTGCTGTCGCTCTACCTTGTAGCCATGGAGACGACAGACCGGTGTTTTCCCTGCGGACAGGAGTCTGCGTTCATCTAACTGTAAGTTTTTTTTCTGCCTGCTTCACGCCAGTCTGGATAGATTTTAATATCAGAGCTTTTGTTTACGTGCGTTTGAGTCTGTGGCTAGTGTGTGTGGAGCAGAGTCAGGTAGCTGGGACAGAAAATGAGACATGAGAGAGACGTCTCCTGAAGTGTTGAAGAAACTCACAAAGAATCACGGATGTTTTTCTCTAGATTCTCCGGGTCATAACTTCTGAATTACTAATCGAATAAAAATAATTCAAACAGTTTATAAAAGTACATAAAACCTGCTTTCCAACGAGGTATTACATGATGTAATTCATGTTACTCCAAAAATCACTATTAGAAGGAAACCAAACTGCAAGATGGCGCCGAGTATGGCTGCCTCGTCGCGAGCTCCACCAAGCAACAGCTGTTTTTTGTGTTCACTACTTTTTCTTTTTCTTTATTTTTTCACGAGTAGCACATGTCTCCTTGTGTACGACCAACAAACCTTACTGGACATAAAAGACGGATTTTCTCATTGCTTCCCGGAGTTCAGGTTTTTCATCACGGACCCGCCGTTTGCAGATCCCCCATTCATCTCACCTGAGACGCATTTGTTATGGGCACGTGGAGGCCGCAAATGCCGACGCAGAGGGAGAAGATCTGGCGTTCTGGTTCGACTGAGACGGCGCACTAACAGACCACCATTACCCAGTTTACTACTGGCTAATGTGCAGTCCCCGGAGAACAAGCTGTGCAAGCTTCGGGCTCGGATCTCATTCCAGCGAGAGATGTGGGACTGCTGCGCAATCTGCCTCATAGAAACCTGGCTATCGGACAAAGTACCGGACACCACCGGACACCACAGTACAACTACCGGGGTTCTCCGTGCACCGTGCGGACAGGTCACAGGAGCTTACTGGTAAAAGCAGAGGTGGTGGTGTGTGTTTCATGATCAACAACAGCTGGTGTGATTATGCGAACGTGCACCCAGTCAAATCCTTCTGCTCTCTGGACCTGGAGTACCTGATGATTAAGTGCTGGCCATTCTGGCTACCGAGAGAATTCACAGGGGTGATTGTTACTGCTGTTTACATTCCCCCACAAGCCGACACTGACCGAGCACTCAGAGAACTGTACAGCGCGATCAGCAATGAGGAAACCGTACACCCAGAGGCGGCGTTTATTACGACCGGGGACTTTAATAAGGGTAACCTGAAGAAAGTCTCACTAAAACTACACCAACACATCCATTTCAATACACGTGGAGACCGGCTACTCGACCACTGCTACACCTCTTTCCGGGATGCGTACAAAGCCCTTCCCCGCGCCCCATTCGGCCAATCAGATCACCGCTCCATCCTGCTTGTACCTGCCTACAGGCAGAAGCTGGAACGGGAAGCTCCAACCCTGAGGGTGGTGCATCGTTGGTCAGACCAATCAGAGTCTACGCTGCGGGACTGTTTTGATTGCGTGGACTGGGAAATGTTTCACGCAGCTGCTAGAGACATTGATGAGTAAACAGACTCAGTCTGCGGATTTATCAGGAAATGCGTGGAAGATGTTGTCCCATCCAGAAACCTTAAATCCTTCCCAAATCAAAAACCCTGGATTAATGGAGGTGTGCGAACGGCGCTGGCGGCGCGGAGCACCGCCTTTGCCTCCGCGAACACATCAGACTACAAACACGCACATTATCAACTCCGGAAGACGATCAAAGCAGCCAAACGTTGAGTACAGAGACAGGGTGGAGCAACAGTTTGACAACCCCCGGAGTATGTGGCAGGGACTAAACACAATCACAGACTTTAGAGGGGAAACCAGCACACCGCAGACCACGGCCTCTCTGTGTGAGGATCTAAACGCATTCTACGCCAGATTCGACACAGCGAACTCCATGAGACCGGACAGTGAGCCCACCGCGGATGACGTCAGCGTGCACACTGTGTCTGAAGAGGATGTGCGGAGGTGCTTCAGGAGGGTGAACGCACGCAAAGCTACTGGTCTGGACGGGATTCCCGGCCGCGTCCTCAGGTCATGCGCGACTCAGCTGGCTGGAGTGTTTACACACATCTTCAACCTTTCCCTCTCTCTGTCTGTAGTCCCAGCCTGCTTCAAAATGGCCACCATTGTCCCTGTACCCAAATCCTCCACCATCTACTCATTGAATGACTGGCGACCTGTAGCCCTGACCCCCATCATGAGCAAATGCTTCGAGAAGTTGGTCAGGGACTTCATCGGCTCTGCACTACCCGATTCACTGGACCCTCTACAGTTTGCATACCGCCACAACAGGTCCACTGATGATGCCATAGCCCTGACACTCCATGCTGCCCTGTCACACCTGGAGAAGAGGGACACGTATGTGAGAATGCTGTTTGTAGATTACAGCTCAGCATTCAACACCATTGTTCCCTCGAAGCTGGACAGGAAACTGCAGGATCTAGGACTGAGCAGCTCCCTCTGCAGTTGGATCCTTAACTTTCTGTCTGACAGACGCCAGGTGGTCAGACTGGGCAGCACCACCTCATCCCCCGTCACACTGAACAGTGGTGCTCCACAGGGGTGTGCGCTGAGCCCTCTCCTGTACTCACTCTACACCTACGACTGCACGGCCACTAGAAACTCCAACATCATTGTGAAGTATGCGGACGACACCACAGTGGTGGGTCTCATCACCAACGATGATGAGACGGCCTACAGGGAGGAGATCAGCGCCCTGACCCACTGGTGTCAGGACAACCATCTCACCCTCAACGTCACAAAGACAAAGGAGTTGATAATGGACTTCCGGAGGTGCAGAGGAATACACACCCCCTGTAACTACAGGGGTCCAACAAAGAATGGCCACGCATCATACTGATGTCTTCGGATGTTTATTTTGCTCTCACTCTCTCTCTTATTGTCTTCAGACACCGTGAAAACTGAAGAAACACAAAGTTTACACCATAACTGTTTTAACTTATCAGTCTCTCATATCATTGTCCATAAACAGTCTCGAGCAAGCAGAACAGAAAGAAAATGCGCAATAATAAATCACAAAAATGTCCTCTCATTACCAGTGTAGAACACATATGCAACATTATACAAACATTATACATGAAACCATACCGTGTGCGCCTCTTGGACCACATGCAGAATGACATTAACGTGGAGTAGCCACGTATCCATGCTATGGTTGCTATGGTAGCGCTGTCAAACAAACTCTGATCATGTGACCATTAGAAACTCTACCTCATACAAACTTTACAGCACGTTACATATTTAACAAACCCATATTTTGTAATCACATATTTTAGACATGTTTTTAAATCAATGTTACACTTTTATCATCTTATCTAGTAATTAAATGAACCAAATTAAGCATCTCTCTATCACAGAAATATTTGAAATAAACAACTTTATTTTAACTGTCTCAGGGACAGTTACACCCCCATCACCATCAACGGCGACGCTGTGGAGAGGGTGAGCAGCTTCCGTTTCCTTGGAGTTCATCTGGCTGAGGATCTTACGTGATCAGTGCACACGAACAATACAGTGAAGAAGGCACAGCAGCGCCTCTTCTTTCTCAGGAGCCTGAAAAGATTTGGCATGAGCTGCCGCATCCTCAGGACCTTCTATCGCTGTGCCATTGAGAGCATCCTCACTGGATGCATCTCCACCTGGTATGGCAACAGCACCGCTTACAACCGCAAAGCTCTCCAGAGAGTAGTGCGGTGTGCAGAAAGGATTATTGGAGGTGAGCTTCCCTCCCTCCAGGACATCTATAAGAAGCGGTGCCTGAGGAAAGCGGGGAGGATCATCAAGGACTCAAGTCACCCCAGCCATAAACTGATCAGACTACTTCCATCAGGAAGGAGGTTCTGCAGCATCCGGTCCAGAACCAGCAGACTGAGAGACAGCTTTTTCCATCAGGCCATCAGACTGCTGAACACTTCACAGACACCTCACCCTCACTACTGAAACTCCAACATTACACGCTCCATACTGTACATTAATGCCACTGTTTTGCCCATACCAGCCTCTGTATATTTTATATCTCTTATTTTATTGTTTACTTTATTCATTTGTAAAATATGTATATACGCATTATACACACACTCACATGCACACACGTAGAAAAATAAAAAATAAAATAATTAGCACACACATTTAGTAATGTATAAACCTTACATACTATATATATTATTACTTAGATTAGCCATTTTTATATTTTGCTTGTTTTTACGTTACTGTATTTTTGCACAACTCTGTTGCTGTGAAGCTCGCACACAAGAATTTCACTCGCTTGTACTGTACCAGTGTACCTGCACATGTGACGTGACAATAAAAGTGATTTGATTTTGATTTGACCAGCTTTGCAGCGTCACTGAAAGAAACGGAGCGAACCGCGACGGGAGAGCTAGAACCGAAAGGAGGAGATGATCTGATCATCTTCATCAGCAGCTTTTATAAAGTTATGGAAACGTCACAAATAAAATCCACCTGGTTGGTCAGGTGTCCCAGACGGCTGTTTCTGTAGATGGTGACATGAGGAGGGACAGATTAAAGTCACACTGGTTTTTATTTGAACAC